TGCAAGCAAGAAAGCTAAAGAGTCGTCTGCTCGAGCAAAGAGTCCTCCAGTCGCGCGAACTGCTGGTTTGGGGATTGGTGATAACTCTGTTGGGGGTGAGCCTGTGTCTGATCTGCTGAAAACGGGCTTTCTATCAAGTCCATCTGCTTGTGCTAAGCTAGCTGACCATGTGTATCGAGCTGCTGATCTTTGTGCCTTCTCGAGCCTTCCCTTGGATAAACAAGAAGAAGCTGCCCTGTATCATCTTCAAAAAGGGATGGTTTTTGCTGTTGGGGCTATGCAGAACTCGCATGATGTTGCCCCCTCTTCTGCCCTGCTTGACGAGCTGGTGAAGAAGAATGCTGACCTGACTGACAAGCTCTCGAACGAGCGGATTCGCCATGACGCGAGGATTTCCGAGATGAAGGAGAGTATGTCCGCACTTAAGAGTTCTGTTGGCCAAAAGATGACGAAGTCAAGTCTCTTATGGCTACCCTGCTCGAACGCAAGGAAGCCTACTTTAGCCTCGAACGCAAGCATGCTGCTCTGGCCCAAGATCGTGATAGGCTGCTGGTCAAGTTTGACAACCATGTGGAAGCCACGGAGGTGTCCAAACATGAGATTGCTGCTAATGCGTACAAGCTGGGATACTTGGACTGCCAGAACGGTGCTCCTCCTTGCTGTCCTCTCGAAGATGACGATGATGAGCAGTCCAGTCTTGATCTGCCCCCTGCTCACAGTAAGCAGATCAATGTTGTGGATGCAGAGGCAGTTGGAGAGCAGGTAGCAGATGAAGCCGCAACGGAGGAAGACAAGCCCCAAGGCGGGTCAGCTGAGGTGGGAAAGGAACAAGCGGCCAAGGCAGTTGAGTAGGTGGTGATGGTTAAGCAGAGTGAGGCCGTTGCCAGCGCAGCTGAGGATGTGATCGGCTAAGGGTCACCTGCTGAAGTCCCCTAGTAGATGTAGTTCATTTTTGCTATTTTTGAACTTTGTAATTTTCTTTCAATAAGTGGTCTTTGGTTGACCGCCCTATTGTTTGTTGAATTTGGCTGGTTGGCCGCTTTGCTATGAAATTTTCAGTTATCTTTCAAACTTCAATTCTCATTATGTCTTGTAAGTGTACGTCCGGAGACATAGCACTTGAAAGAGATTCCATTGAGTTTGTACTCGTGAAGTAGCTTGCCCACCATGGAAGTAAGGCTTGTCGCCTACGAGCGTATGTCAGGGACACAATGCTCGAAATAAAAAGATTCCATTGAGTTTGTGCTTCGCGAAGCAGCTTGTCTGCAATGGAGATGAGGCTTGTCGCCTGCGAGCGTATGTCAGGGACACAACGCTCGAAAAAGACTCCATTGAGTTTGTGCTTCGTGAAGCAGCCTGTCTGCAATGGAGATGAGGCTTGTCGCCTGCGAGCGTATGTCAGGGACACAATGCTCGAAAAAGACTCCATTGAGTTTGTGTTTCGTGAAGCAGCCTGTCTGCAATGGAGATTAGGCTTGTCGCCTGCGAGCGTATGTCAGGGACACAATGCTCGAAAAAGACTCCATTGAGTTTGTGCTTCGTGAAGCAGCCTGTCTGCAATGGAGATTAGGCTTGTTGCCTGCGAGCGTATGTCAGGGACAAAATGCTCGAAAAAGACTCCATTGAGTTTGTGCTTCGTGAAGCAGCCTGTCTGCAATGGAGATTAGGCTTGTCGCCTGCGAGCGTATGTCAGGGACACAATGCTCGAAAAAGACTCCATTGAGTTCGTGCTTCGTGGAGCAGCTTGTCTGCAATGAAGATGAGGCTTGTCGCCTGCGAGCGTATGTCAGGGACACAATGCTCGAAAAAGGCTCCATTGAGTTCGTGCTTCGCGGAGCAGCTTGTCTGCAATGGAGATGAAAGAGGCCTGTCGCCTACTTGGAGTCGAGCTGGTAAGCTGCAACTCGAACAATGGTCTTGTTGTTGTAAGATGCCAGCTGCTGATGGTATGCTGCTGCTCGAACAATGGTCTTCTTGCTATGGTAAGACGTGAGCTGCTGCTGGTAAGTTGCAACTCGAACAATGGCCTTCTTATTGTAGCAAGATGTGAGCTACTGTTAGTAAGCTGCAACTCGAACAATGGCCTTCTTATTGTAACAAGATGTGAGCTGTTGCTGGTAAGCTGCAACTCGAACAATGACCTTTCCTCGTTCCTCTTCGACAGATCAAGGTTGACTTTCATCTGCTTGCAGTTTTGGTCAAGACTGCCCACCTCGATACTCATGGAAGGGACTGTGATGTGTGGGGGAATGATTGCTTCTGTTCCCATAGGCCAAGGAAAATGGTCTCTCCGATTGATCTCCTTTTGGTTGTGCGATAAGCCCATAAGACTCCTGGTAGCCCGTCGACCCATTTTCCTTTTGCGCATTCCAGTCTTTCCTTTAGGCAGTCCAGCACGATCTTGTTGGATGCCTCTGCTTAGCCATTGCCTTGCAGGTATATGGGAGTTGACAGGTGCTGTTTGATGCCATACTTTGCAAGGAATGCGGTGGTCTGCCTGCCCACGAACTGTGTTCCGTTGTCGGTGACTATTGATTGCGGGCAACCGAATCTGCAAATAATGTTCTTCCAGATGAACCGTTCAACATCGGCCTCCTTGGTAGAAGATAAAGCCTCGGCCTCGATCCATTTGGTGAAGTAATCAGTGGCAACGATCATCATCTCTTTATTGGCAGGTGCCGTCGGCATAGGTCCCACCAAGTCAATGGCCCACTGCATGAATGGCCATGGACTGTTCTGCGGATGGTATTCCTCAGCGGGCTGGCCAGGGACCGGCTTGTAGCGTTGGCATCGATCACATCTTCGAGCATACTCCGTGGAGTCTTGGCGCATGGTAGGCCAGAAATAGCCTATGTTGAGAGCCTTCTGAGCAAGCGATCTGCCCCCAGCATGATTTCCACATTCGTCGTCGTGTATCTTGCAGAGAACCTCGAGCGTTTGTGGGTACTTGATGCAAGTGAGATGAGGCCCGTAGTATGATCTGCGGATAAGCATGTCGCCTTTCATGTAGTATCTTGCAGCCTTCTGCTTGATTTTTCTGGCCTCGGACTTGTCCTTGGGCAGGTTTTCATTCACTAGGTAGTCAATAATTGGGTCTTGCCAGCTAGGATCCTCATCGATCTGCATCAGGTCCGGTTGCTTTGCCTCCTCTATGCTAGGCTGGTCAAGGTGCTCGACCGGGATGGAACGTCTGAACTGGGTATCCAGCGCCGATCCCAAGCTTGCTAGTGCATCTGCGTGCGCGTTCTCTGCTCTGGGAACTTGCTGGATGGTGAAGGTGGGAAACGCTTTCAACAACTCTTGAACTTTGTCAAGGTACAAGATCATCCTTGGGTGCTTCGCCATGTATTCTCCTGAGGCTTGACTTGTGATCAGCTGGGAATCTGAGTAGATGGCCAGCTTTTTGATTGATAGCTCCTTTGCCAAGCGCAAGCCAGCGAGCAACGCCTCGTACTCTGCCTCGTTGTTTGAAGCCGGGAAGCCAAGCGTGATAGCTTGCTCTAACAGGGTTCCATCTGGGGTGATGATGACGACGCCTGCTCCAGCTCCTTTCTGGTTCGACGCTCCGTCTACGCGCAACTGCCACATGTCTCTGGGTTGGTCAGGTTCAGTAGAGGTCTTGTCTGCTCTCGAACTTTCCTTCTTTTTGCTGACCAGCTTCTCTTCTTCGGCTGATGGTGTGAATTCTGCAACAAAGTCTGCTAAGGCTTGAGCTTTTATTGCAGTCTTCGGCCGGTAGAGGAGGTCGTATTGGCTTAGCTCTATAGCCCACTTCATGAGTCGCTGAGAAGCATCAGGGCTGTGGAGGATTGATCTCAAAGGAAAGTCGGTCATGACGATGACTCGGTGAGCTTGGTAATAAGGTCGCAGCTTTCTCGCAGAAACCACAAGGGCCAAAATGAGCTTCTCCAATTTCGGGTAGCGAGTCTCTGCATCGAGGAGAGCTTTTGACGTGTAGAATATCGGATGTTGGGCCCCAAGTTCTTCTCGAATGAGAGCTGAGCTGACGGCCGAGTTGGACACTGCCAGGTACACGAACAAGTCTTCACCAGGAACTGGCTTTGAAAGCAAGGGAGGTGAAGTAAGGTAGGTCTTTAGATTCTGGAAAGCTACTTCGCACTCTTCGTCCCATTTGTCTTTTTGTCCTTTCTTCAAAGCTTTGAAGAATGGTCTGCACTTGTCGGTAGACTTTGAGAGGAATCTGTTAAGGGCCGCTGCTCTGCCCGTCAGGCTTTGTATCTCCTTCACTGTGGAAGGCGACTTCATCTCGAGAATGGCTTTGATTTGGCGCGGGTGTGCCTCGATACCTCGTTGCGTCACTAAGTACCCTAGGAACCGGCCAGACGATACACCGAACGTGCATTTACTTGGATTCAGCTTCATGCGATATTGGCGAAGTAGGCTGAACGCCTCGGTGAGGTTTTTGAGGTGGTCTGCCCGCTTGGGGGCTTTAACCAGCATATCGTCCACGTACACCTCCATGGTTCTGCCGATCTGCTCCTTGAAAATTTTATTCACGAGCCTTTGGTAGGTTGCTCCGGCGTTCTTCAGCCCAAAGGGCATGACCTTGTAGCAGTAGGTGCCTCTTTCGATGATGAAAGAGGTCTTCGCCTTGTCATCATCGTACATCATAATTTGATTATAGCCGGAGTAAGCATCCATGAAGCTGAGCAGCTGGTTGCCGGAAGTTGAATCCACGAGCTGGTCGATTCTCGGCAGTGGGAAGTTGTCTTTAGGGCACGCTTTGTTGAGGTCGGTGTAATCAACGCATACTCTCCATTTTCCCTTTTCTTGTTTTGCCACCAGAACAACGTTAGCCAGCCATTCCGAGTAGGAGACCTCTTCAATGAAACCGGCAGCTAGGAGCTTGTCGATCTCGGCTTCAATGATCGCGACCCGCTCGGGAGCAAAGTTGCGTCTCTTCTGCACCACGGGCTTGCTAGCAGGGTTGACATGGAGCCGATGGCAGATGATGTTTGGGTCAATGCCAGGCATGTCAGATGGTGACCACGCGAACATGTCTTTGTTGTTCTGGAGGAAGATGGTCAGCTCCATCTTCTCGTCTGGGCTTAGGCGCGAGCCGATCCGCGCTTTCTTGTCTGGCTGGTGAGGATCGAGGGGTACTAACTCAACGTCTTCCTCAGGCTTCCAACCTTCTTCAAGGGAGCCTTCCGGGCGGATTCCCTCATCTCGATCCTTCTTGGTTGAATTCTGGCGCGAGCCGATTTGCGCCTCCTTCTCTGGCTGATCAGGATCGTGGGGTACTAACTCAACGTCTTCCTCAGGCGTCCAACCTTCTTCAAGGGAGCCTTCCGGGCGGATTCCCTCGTCTCGATCCTTCTTGTTCGGATTCTGGCACGAGCCGATCTGCGCCTCCTTCTCTGGCTGATCAGGATCGGGGGGTACTAACTCAACGTCTTCCTCAGGCTTCCAACCTTCTTCAAGGGAGCCTTCCGGGCGGATTCCCTCGTCTCGATCCTTCTTGTTCGGATTCTGGCGCGAGCCGATCTGCGCCTCCTTCTCTGGCTGATCAGGATCGGGGGGTACTAACTCAACGTCTTCCTCAGGCTTCCAACCTTCTTCAAGGGAGCCTTCCGGGCGGATTCCCTCGTCTCGATCCTTCTTGTTCAGATTCTGGCGCGAGCCGATCTGCGCCTCCTTCTCTGGCTGATCAGGATCGGGGGGTACTAACTCAACGTCTTCCTCAGGCTTCCAACCTTCTTCAAGGGAGCCTTCCGGGCGGATTCCCTCGTCTCGATCCTTCTTGTTCGGATTCTGGCGCGAGCCGATCTGCGCGTCTTTGTCTGGCTGGTCAGGATCGGGGGGTACTAACTCAACGTCTTCCTCAGGCTTCCAACCTTCTTCAAGGGAGCCTTCCGGGCGGATTCCCTCGTCTCGATCCTTCTTGTTCGGATTCTGGCACGAGCCGATTTGCGCCTCTTTGTCTAGCTGGCCAGGATAAGGAGGTACTAACTCAACGTCATCCTCAGGCTTCCAACCCTTTTCAGGGGAGTCTTCCCGGCGGATTCCCTCGTCTCGATCCTGGTTCCTTAACTGCTATTGTGAGCCAGCAACTTCCTTCCCTTTCGGGTTTGCTTGTCTGCTAAGAGCGCTTCTTGCCTCGTTGGCAGCTTGCATTACTGGTGTGAACTGCAGCTGCTTGCTCTTCTTGAGCCCTTGGGCGGTGCATCTCCTTGCCATGGCTTGGTCACTGTTGATCTGCCCGATTCCGCCCCCAGGGATGGGATAACGGATCTTCTGATGTAGAGCAGATGTGATGGCCTCGATCTTGCTGATCCACGGTCGGCCCAGGATTCCGTTGTAGGGGGAAACCTCGTCGATGACCATGAAGGTCTGCGAGCAGACTACTGGGGGTGAGTGGACATCCAAGTCGATCGTTCCAACAGTGATTGATGTGGCCCCATTGAAGCCGGTGAGCGATCTGGCAAGTTTGCTAATCTTGGGCTCGAACCCCATCTGTTGGATAACAGATAGTTGCAGGATGTTGGCTGCGCTGCCCTCATCTACATGAACTCGCTCGATCACAGCTTGTTCAATTTGGATGCAGATGACTAGGGCGTCATTATGTGGCAGGTCCAACCCGATCAAGTCCTTCTTCTGGAAGCCAATGATAGGTGTATCCCCAACAGCTGGTACTCCCGTTGTGACTTGGGAGACATAAGTTGCCTGCGCGATCTTTCTCTTGCGCTCCTTGGTGGTCAGCCCGGACTCTTGGGAGTCGGCTAGAATGGTGTTGATTCGTATGACCTTTTGGGGAGGTTCCTTGGCAGCTACATCACGATCCTCGATCTGCTGGATAGCCTTCTTTGCAACGAACTCTGTGCAATGGCCTTCTCTGACCAGCTCCTCAAGGTGCCTTTTCCAAGCGTTGCAGTTGTTGGTGTAATGACCGTGCTCCCCGTGGAATGCGCAGTATTTGCTGGCGTCTCTTTTAGAGGGGTCTCCCTTCATGGGTGGTGGTCTCCTCACCCACGGCTTATCCTTCACTTGAGCTAGGATCTGGTGGATTGGGATAGCGAACTCGGTGAAGGTCCCTGTTTCTAAGCTTCCCTCTTGGGGCCGCGATCTGCGCTTATCTCGGGCTTTTTGCTCGAACTTGTTGCTCTTTTGGCTTGCCTGCTTCGTCGGGTGGTCAACTTGCTTGCTAGCTTTCTTTGCGGCGATACGATCATCGTCCCAAAGTGCGTAGCGCTCTGCCGTCGCGAACACTTCTGCCAAGGTTTGACTTGGAGTTATGGCCAGCTCCCGGTATAGCTCGTGCTCGGTTGGCAAGCCCTTTTTGAATGCTGAGGATGCAACTTGGTCGTTGCATCCTATGATGTTAGCCTTCTCAGCCTTAAACCGTCTCAGGTAGTCTCGTAGAGACTCGTCTGGCTTCTTGCGCAGGTTGAACAGGTGGTCTGCATGCTTTCTGACCGTCTTGTAGGAGGTGTACTCCTTTGTGAAAATGATGGCGAACTCCATGAAGTTGCCTATTGACGCGGACGGTAGAGTGTGGAACCAATCCTGAGCTGCTCCTCGCAGGGTCATCGCGAACACTTTGCACATCAGGGCGTCGTCTGCCTTGTACAGGATCATGGCGCTCTTGAAGTGCCTCAAATGGCTCTCAGGGTCAGAGTCCCCCTTGAATGGAGTGATGGATGGCGTTGTAAACCGCTTCGGCGGCGGGGCTCGTTCCACCTCGTCGGTAAAGGGCGAGCGGTCAACTCGATCAATTTCCTTGCACAGGGCCTCCTCCGCGCTTCCTTTGAGTCGGAGACCTCGGAGTTGGTCATTTACCAGCTTTGCGACATCCTCTGCTCGCAGGGTTGGAGTCTCGGGCCGACGTCTTCGGTGCCTCGAGCGCGACTGGCTAGCTTCTTCCTCGGTTCCCAAGGGTCGATCCCCTTGGGTGCTCTGCCCGTGAGGCAGATTAGGAGATTGAGCTTGTGAGGATTCCTCTGCAGCTTGTCGCCGCGTGTTGGTCCTCGAGCGGGCTGGTGGGCGTCGATCGTCACCCTCTGCTCGCAAGGAAGGTCGTTCAGGTCGGCGCCTTCGGAGTCTCGAGCGTGACTGGCTAACTTCTTCTCCAACTCCCAAGGGTCGATCCCCTTGGTTGCCCTGCCGGTGGGGCAGGAGAGAAGGTTGAGTTTGGGAGGATCCCTCCACAGCTTGTCGCCGCATGTTGGACCTCGAGCGGGCTGGTGAGCGTCGATCGTCATCCTCTGCTTGCAAGGAAGGTCGTTCAGGTCGACGTCTTCGGTGCCTCGAACGTGATCGGCTAACTTCTTCTCCGGCTCCCAAGGGTCGATCCCCTTGGTTGCCCTGCCGATGGGGCAGGAGAGAAGGTTGAGTTTGGGAGGATCCCTCCACAGCTTGTCGCCGCGACCGCTCACGAACTCGAGCTCCTTGTGGACCTAAGCGAGCACGAACATTGGATTGTGGGCCTAGCCTCTCGAGCACATTGGTCCTGGGTCCTAGCCTCGAACGGCTCAGAGTACGGCTTGCAGCTGTCTGTGTCTCGTCTGCACGATCTCGCTCTCTTCCCTGCCGGTTTGCCCTTGTCTGACTAGCCTGGGACCTCTCGAATTGCTCGCCAGCATGCTCGGGTGCCCTCCTCTCCTCGTCACGGGGTCCAAGGTTGGGGCCTTGATTCAAGTTGATCTGCCTGAGTAGCTGGCCAATCAGGTTGTTTTGATCATCGACCTTCTGTGTGAGTTGATCAACCCGCGAGTTAAGGTCCACTTGACTGCCCGGGCCAAGTAGGGTGGTGTGCATTGGGCCCAACGGCATGTGGGCTAGGGCTCCATTGGACGCGTACACAGGTGCATATGTCAAGTGTGATCGCAGAGGAGGGAGAGAATGGATCTGCTCCGAGACTGGGACGATGTCAGAGTAGCCATGGGGCTGTGCAGCAAGTCCGGTAGTTAAGTGGTGTGGCTGCTGCTGTGCTCCGACGGCAGGACAGCGAGGCAGAGCAGCTCCGGTAATCGGCGCTGGCGACTGCAAGGCTGTGGAGGTCCCAGGGTCATGTGGCGGCTGTTCTGCAATTCCAGCAGCTGAAGGCGGCTGCAAAGCACTAGAAGACGGCTGCAGGGCGTTGGCAGGCATGATTCCGTGCTGTTGTATTGAGGTTTCCACCACAAAACCATGAGATGGGCCCGTCGTGGTGGCGTTACTCTTCGTACGTCTTGTATCAACCATGGTTGTTTGAAAAAACTGTGTGAAAGATGGATTTTGAGCACGCTTTGAATATATCTCGTGCTCTCAATGAAAGCACCAATTTGTTTGTACAAATTTCCTCACGAGAATATTCGTCTAAGATTCCTTCGTCTTCTCCACTTCTCTTTCTCCCTGCAAAACAGATCGGGGGTAAAAGGACCACACCCGGGGGGTGTTGGCCAAAGGCCCTCCGATGCCTAAGTTAGGTAGGGTATTTCAAGGAAAACCGGGTGGCCGGAGCCGTGTGTGGTGGCCGGAGCCTAGTGTCAGAGAGAGAAAGAAAGTGGTGGCTAGGGTTTGTGAGAAATAATTTCTGCAGAGTTTCAGTAGGAATTTAGACGTACCTTGACCTTTGTGCGTAGCCAAGTATTTATAATGGTCTCGAAGATTAGGGTTTCAGAGGAATAATTCCGTAGTTGGTAAGGAATTATTCCTCCCTGATTTGGCATTGATTTGATTAATTAGGGATTTGATTTATTTGGGTAAATCAAATCCCTAATCGTGGTAGGTATCATATCAAATCCTAATTTAATTAGGTAACTCATCATTTAATTGGGAATTGGGGTAGGAATCAAATCAATTCCCAACTTAATTAGGTAATTCTCAATTTAATTGGGTAACTCCCAATTAAATTGAGTAACTCCCAATTAGGTTGAGTAATTCCCAAATAGGTCAAATAATCCCCAAATGGAAGGAATTATTTGACCTAGGGTATGATTTAATTCGGCTCCCACACACACCTGTGAAGGGACTAATCTAGTTTATAATTGATTAATCTCTTTTCTCGAAAGAAATAAAAAGATTGATTAATCTCCAACAACTTTCTTATTATATTGGATATTGGATCTACATGCCCCGCCCTTCGAAAAATGTTATAATTTTTCTGGTTCTTCGTTTTTTTTTAACAAAGTAAAATTAAAATTAAGAAGAAGAAAGAACTATACAGAATTTTTTTTTATGCGAAAGGAGGAAATCAAATCAGGTGCATAATAAATGCTCTTAACCACTTGAGCTACAAGTTCCTTGCTACTTAGAATTGTTTTTAGTTCTCTACCATATTCTTTTCATTGTTACTAAAAAAATAAAAAATAAATACAAAAGTGCTACTAAAAGAACCGAATTCAACATCTTATCGGATGAAAAATTCATACTTAGAAAGCCTTTACCTAACATACACTCTTCCAATGAAGAACGCCTCGTTGACAAAGCCTTTGCGACATTTGTCAACTTTCAATGCCAAACACGGCTACCAGCCAACCACGCAAAAGGGGGGAATTTTCTATGGGATTGCTGTTGACAAAACTGTTCCTCTTGATAGAATAATCCCTCATGTTTTAGAGTGACAATGCGTTTCAAAATTGAAGGAAGACCAAGTTGTTGCCCATCATGTTGGCATCTGAATTTGTTGCCAACATGAACATGAAGAAATGCGCTGGCCAAGCTAGGTGCAAAGAAAAGATCTCGCGTATATCCAGCGCATACAACGCTCCTCTCACATATCACACAAACCAAGACACCAAGCCTTAGGTGTGAGAAAGAGATTCTAATTTATATAAACACCCCTTGTATGCAAGCATTTTAGCCATATGGTTCATGATGCAGACTGAGGAGGAGGCAGTCCATGTAATGATCATGTGAATGAAGATGTAAAATAGTAAATTGATAAACAGATAAGAGCTCAGGATCAGCGCTAAACATAATCATTTCTTGTGTATTTCTGCCCTAAAAGTTACCAAACTAGTATAAATGCGATAGTGAGGACTGATGACAGCCAATAAACACTAAAAACAGTTCTTCATGTCATTCAGATGCTCAAAACAAACCAAAAAGAGAAGAGGAATGCACACAGATAAAACACGGCACTCACGAAAACAATGGTTGTAAACAAAAAGGCAGCTATAATCCCCGGAAATTCTAACAAATTGACAGCCAGTGCTACCTTACCTTAACCTTAAATCCAAACACACATCTATGTCTTTTCACATTTTCTCAGCCATTATGGCCAATCCTAGGCACGGCCTCCTATTTCGAATCCTGTTTTTCATCTTTTTCCTCTGAGATGAAATCTGAGCTATCTTCAGCTGCTGATGTCCCATCATTCCCATCATTATATTCTGGAGCCTGGGAAGTCTTAAATAGTTCATCATTCTCCAATTGAGCTAACTTCTCTTCGATTCTCCCTCAGTAGCTCGACCACCTCCAGCATAGTCGGTCTTCTCTCAGGTCGACTATGAGCACATAGCAAAGCCACAAAGATAACTCTTTTCAGCTCATCCTCTGCATACTTTCCATTGAGCTTGGGATCTGCTAATTCATCAAACTTCCTCTCACAAGCCAATGGCAGTGCCCAATCAGTAACTGTGCGTTTCATTGTTGAACTCAATTTCTCAATGGGTTTCTTGCCACTGGCAAGTTCTAGCAGGAGAATGCCAAAGCTGTAGACATCACAACTCTCTGAAGCTTTCCCTAACATAGCATATTCAGGTGCAAGGTAGCCAAGGGTACCCTTCACTCTTGTGGTCACATGTGTAGCACCATCAGGGATTAGCTTTGCAAAACCAAAATCAGCAACTTGAGCCTGGAAATCTGAGTCCACTAACACATTGCTGGCTTTGATGTCTCTATGGATTATATGTGGAGTTGCATGGTGGTGAAGATAGCTGGAAAATTAAAGTAAGAGGTTAATATGAGTAACAGTTATAGAGTTGGGAGAAATATGGGTTCAGTACTTACGCAATTCCCTCAGCAGATCCAATTGCAATATTCATCCGCCGGTTCCAATCAAGAAGGCATTCAGCTGAGTGCTGCCCGTGAAGATGAGAAAGTAAGCTCAAATTTGGCATGTAGTCATATACAATTAAACGCTCTTGCCCTTCTGCACAATAGCCACGTAAACTGAGCAGATTCTTGTGCCGAACTCGTGCCAATATCTCAACCTCAACTGCAAATTCCATATCTGCTTTGTTACTCCAGACCTTTAACCTTTTAACTGCAATCTGTATAGATTTCATTGAGAATTAATTTGAATTGAGATATCATTCAGAATTATAAATAGTCCATACAAGAGACAATTTTGGGTTTAATTTAGGCAACAAAACAAAAAAAAAAAAAAAAAAAAAAAAAAGAAAAGAAAAAAAAAAAAAGATACATAGACACTATCACCACCCACCAGACAGATGGAGCACAAAGGAAATTCCACCGATTACTATCAAGCGAAGAAAAAATTTAAGGAAAGACCAATGCACAACAAGAAGATCAAGCATTTCAGAAAATTTTGATACTTTACAGAAGTCTCAGTATCTGGGAAGTAATTACAGGTGCCCTTTTGAAGAAGCTACTTTTAGTTATGATTAAAATTTAGAGAAAAACTATACTCATACTTTGCGATCACTATTTTAGAGATTACTCGAGCAAAAATATCAACTCCTTCATAAGGCTCACTCAAGACGGTGAAGAAACATACTCTGACAAACTTATAGTTGATGCTAAACATAATGATATTAAGGACCTCGATAAAAGTTTGTTTTTGTAGAAATTTTTTTGAAGTGCACAATGTTGACCAACACAAAGTACATTCTTCCAACCCTGTTTAATAGATTGAGAGCATCCACAATGGGCTCCCTAAACCACCTCCTTAGACAAATTTTAGGGAGGAATCGTAAAAATGTAACTCCAACCACGCTCCCTATCCACCTCCTAAAATAGGGAGTTCTCTAGGAGCTCCTAAATATGAGGAGAGAGAAAGGACTCTTAGTGGCTCCCTATAATTTAATGCTGCTTTATTTAATGAGTATTTTAAACCTTTATTTAATGCTAACAATTTTTTATTTTATTTTTTAATAGAGATGGACCAATCAAAAAAGAGTTATAGCATTTATGAACTCCAAATTAGGGAGTATGGTTGGAGTTGAAATTTTTTAGAGAGCTCCTAAAATAGCTTTCTTATATTCTTAGCCAAATTTTAGCTAAGAAATAGAGAGCATCATTGTGGATGCTCTGAAGAATATAAGTACATAAAGATATTGGAATCAGTCTTTTAAGCACAGTTGTCTCAACTGGGCTTCTCTAGGAAGCTCCCAACCAGGCAGGGTGTCTGCACCTACTTATGATTTTATGTCTAGCACAGAAAGTGACCAAATAAAACTGAATACAATTCATCCTGACGAACACTGGAGTGACTTATAACTATTCTATACCAAATTAAACTGGTATATACTCCTTAGCTATTTGAAAAAGTAATGGACTCCACCAATCAACTGAATATACATGACAAAACTTGTACAAGCATGTCCCTCTCTTTCTTATTGCTAGATCCTCATGGCAGTGATGCAATTCAACAAATTGAAATAATAATTTTAACCAGCAGTACGTATGAGGGTTCACCTTGGAGCAACAATATGGCTTGCTCCAAGTGATCTAGTGTTCGAAGGTTTGATTTCAAGAAATGGCCTCTCTAGAAATAAGGATGTGGCTGCATACGTCTTGCCCTAATCAGCCATAGCACCTGTCCTCTTATCTTTCCCTTCCAAGTTTCAATAATCTAGCTGCAACTAATTTTTCCCCATGTTCATCAGGTGTCATTCAAAAAATTTCCAGAACATAACACTGTTGGTAGTTTCACTTCCTTTGAGAACCAACCAACACTACGACTCCCATGTTTCTTTCACCGTCTAATCTTCTTACTATATTTCAATGTTGAATGCAATTCTCACAGCCTTTTGTGCATTAAAAGAATCACTTCCCTTGAGAACCAACCAGCACTATGACTCCCATAGTCTCTTTCACCATCTAACATTCTTACTATATTCCAATGTTCAATGCAATTCTCACAGCCTTTGTGCACTAAAAGAATTAGTGTTTTTATAGCTTCTCTAAAATGAAGGAAAAAGAAAAGAAAATTTATTTGGTTCAGATTATTCATTACATGTTACAAAAGGAAATACGTACCTAAAATGTTTCACAACCGTATCCTAAACGAAAAGGCACAAGTAGTTCATTGATAGAGCATACAAGTTTATTTATCATTACAAGAAGAAGAATCTAAATCATCACATACCTACTGCTGTGTCTGACCACATATTCATTCTATGAAGAAAATAGGTAATAATTATTTATACTACAACCATACCCTTAAGGATTATGGCAAAGATCCATAAATATTATTGAATCCACAACTACAAGCTCAAACACTGAAGTGGTCTCTTCATCAGTCATAACCATTTTAATGCCTCATCCAGACATTTGATCTACACTAGCACTTAAACATCAGGGAAAAATTCTAACCATATTAGCCCACTTTATGCCATCCTCATAATCATTTCAATTGAGAATTTTAAACAAAATGAGATATCAGAAATCTAAAGTTAAAAGACCAATAAAAAAATTTATTGTTTAGAAATAAAAACCAACGATCAACCAACAGTATCCTTTTGATTTATGGTTTTTTTCTTATAAAAAAATAGTAGAATCAAGAATGATAACTCTTGTTTGTTCTTTCACCCAAAAAAGAAGAAGCAAAACCATAATCAATTAAGTATATGATGCTAAACTTAACTGAGTAACCAGCAGAATTCACAATAATAAAAAATGACATATAACTGAAATATTAGTAATTACTTGTGATCCATCCCAAAGCTGACCCCAGTAAACACTTCCAAACCCTCCCTCTCCAAGTTTGTTGTCATAATTAAAATTGTTTGTTGCTGCGTGGAGTTCCTTCAAGGAAAAGACCCTCCATGTTGGCTGCTTCTTTCCTCGTTCTTTTCTGCACATCAGGTTTCCATCAAATCAATATAATACCAATTAGGTTTCTTAATGAAATAGTAATTTTCTTCAGAAAACACCCAACTGCTAAAAGCAGACACACAACAGCAGAAACTACAGAACCAAAAACCAAGAACAACCCGAAACGGATACCAAAGATGCCATCTAATTTTAAAAAATAAAAATAAAAAAGGGGGTAAATTCCAGTTGATTTTCTTTTCTTGTTTGCTTAAGAAAAACAAATTAAAACGATAGATTGACTGTTGAATGTTTGTAAAGTGGACAAGTCATTAGAAACAGGATGGAACAAAAGCCCAACCATCATCTGTTCATTGATGCCTGTTTGTAATCTGTTTTACTGAGTCATTAAGATTCCAGTCCGATATTAACTCTTTATTCTCTTTTTCCTTCCTTATACTTTGAAACCGACATGTGGATCAATAAATTCCTCTTGCTAACACCCATTTTGCTTCTCTGTTTAATCTGAGGAAAACCCAAGAATGCAAATCCTCTTCTTTTTGTTTCTCTGGTAACACTTCAAAAAATGGTAACACTTCAATTTGCACTTAATTCTTCCTAACACCAATGAGCTCATCCTTCGAATCTGAGCTAAACCCAGAACCTAAGCCCACTTCAACTCTCATTTCATCATCCAGAAAACCACAGCGAAAGATTTCTCCAAATCAGATTCCACTACTACTTACATAACAAAATTGAATTAAAAAAAGAAAAAACCAACCAGCAGTAAATAATCAAAACCAAAATTTTCAAATTCAGCTCGGAAACAAAGAATGATTAACGTACCGACCAAAGCCCCTTCCACAACAAAACATTGGACCAAAAGCCATAGCCAAACCCACCAACAAAAATCGCTTCTTTAGTCAATCAGAAAACGACCCACCAAACCAAATCAGCTCCTTGTTCTTCTTCTCCCAATTTTTCAAGCTTCGTTTTTTACTCTGAGCCTTCCTGAACCTCCCTCTTTAGCTTGTTGCAGAGTGAAGGTGAGAGAAAAGGCAAAGCCGAAGAAGACGATGAGATACCAAGCTTGGAGCTTCGGTCATTTGGTTGGGTTTTGGTGGGCAAAAGCTAGCAAAAGCTACAGTCTTTAAGGCGAATGTTGCGCTTTGAGAACCTGAACAACGGACGGGATTTGCAGAGCGCACAAAATAGTTGTTATCAGCCAAACCCAAAAGTCCACACCCTTCTTCCTTAAGCCTTCTTTTCTGTCTGTTTTCAAGTTTCTGGTCCAGCTGTTATTCAATTTTGATTTTCAAAGTGCAGACGCATACTCTCAGGGACCCATTTCAATTCTTTAATTATATATCTCTTTTAACAGGTTGTTTATATTATTAATTGTAATTAAATTTATTAACAGTTTCACCATTTTCTCAGCTTTACAATTTTATTTGTAAAAGGAAAATGAATAAATAGAGTTTAACTCTCTGTAAGAGTTGTGAAAAGAAGGGCACTCCATTACTAGATAGTAGTTACAAGTTTCAATCTTCATTTTATTAATTTAATCGCCAAAGTAGAACATAAATGAGCTAAGAGCACTTCCGCCTATTTGTCATGGCAAATGGTAAGAGGAGGCAAGGACATATACTATTCACGTAAATAGTGGCAACCATTGCAAAAAGCAAGTTGTGTTTCCACCCGTTGCCATTGCAAATGGCAAATATTTGTTTTTTTTTTAACAATTAATTTGGAGAATATTTTCGGATAAGATTTTGAGTTCTTATCTATCAATATTTATTATAAAATTCATATCCCATAATTTGAATGAATTTTCTTGATAAATTTTCACCAGCTCCCAACATTCTTGATGGTTGAAAGATTTTTTGCCTTGCCCAATTGCACCAAACCACATATGTGCTTGCATAATCTATTAACAAAAAAATATTGAAAATGCAAGACACATTAATAAAATATTGAAAATGCATGAAATATTTAAAATATATTGGAAATGCAAGTAACATTACAAAAATATTGGAAATGCAAGAAACATAAAAAAATAATTAAAAAAATTAGGACATTACATTTAATAAAATGGAAATTACAAATAATTTACCTCATTGCCAAGATTTTCACTGCTTCGAACATTGTCCCTAACTTTTGCTAACACATCTCTCCATTTCCCTAACTCTTTATTCAATATTTTCCACCTACTACTCAATGCCATTTCTGTACGACTCAAACCCGATCTTTCACAAAATTTGGCATGAATTTTTCTCCACATGTGAGAGAATTTCATCTCATTGCCTATGACCGGACAATGACAAATATGGACCCAACTCTCACACAAGAGAACATCTTCCAAATAATAGAATTTATGAAATTGTATGAGGATTTGGTGTAGAAAGTGAAGAAGAATTGTAGGTATTTATAGGGAAAAAGTTCAGAAATTTTTGGTAAATCTTTTAAAAAATTTCGAATTTTTTTTCACATTTTTTATGCCATAAAAAAGCCCAGCCTTTGGATTTGAAAAAAAAAAAAAAAAAAAAAAAAAAGCGACCAGAACGTGCCACGTGGCATGTTACCATTGGCCAACACCAGCGCGCGGTAATTCAAATATTTTTAACGTTGGTGCGTGCATTAAAAATAATTTGAATTACTGCGCTGATGTCAACAATCTTCGAGCTCAACCTCGGGTTGGTTTCGCCTGCGGGCTGGCCCAGTCTCATGGGACCCATGCCTTGCTCAGGCTTCTTTGGCCCACTAGAAGCTGCTGCCTGGGCTCGGGCCCTATCCTGTTAGGGCTGGGGTTTGTTGCTAGAGGTGCTCTAATATGAAGGAGTACATAACTATTATTCAGTAAAAATAATTTTGCTAGTTGAGATAATAAATGAATATTGAAAGAATAAAAACAACAGTGAGAAGCATAGGATAGCGTTCCAAGAGTGTCAATAACGCCTCCCTTTTATTCTATCATTGTTGAGTTTGATTAACTTATTTTGTGTTAGAAAGAGATAAGAAGGTTTTTATTTTTGTTTAAATGTTTAATGGATATACTCAATCCTCTCATTACTTATTAATGGATTTGTCTACTCGTATTTCTCATCTCAACATTAAAAGATATCAAAGTTCGAATATCATCCGCTCTAAGAGCATCCGCAATGATTGCTCAATAGTTCATTTCAGTTTAGTTCAGTAGTTCAATTTATTTAACTTTTTTGGCAGCTATTAAGCTGAACTGTAGTTTCATTTGCAGCGATGTAGTTTAATAGTTTACAAATTTAAAACTAATGTTGTCCATGTGTCAATAAGAGAGAGGCTATAGAGTTATTATGGTAGACCATCTTATTAAAATGAATTTCATTTCATAGTTCATTTTATTGACCTCTGAAATGAATTATTGATACCTGAAATGAAATATTGATCTTTGAAATGAACTGAACTTTACCACTGCAAGTCAAAAGTTCAATTTATTGAAATAAAATGAAAATCACCCCACCGTTGCAGATGCTTTAATTATAAATAATAAAAAAATAGTTTAGGAGATAATGTGAAACATACGATATGTTCTCGAATTGAAAATAAATATATTTTATTTATTTATGGTTTCATTCAAGTGAAACTATACATGGATGATCTTAACTTTTGACTTCATTATGAAATAATTAAAATTGAGGCTAAACATTACTGTTCCAACTTCCAAATCATAGTTAGTTTTAAACAATGATTACATTTGGAATCAAGAAAAGAGTTAAATATGAGTGTTGTGATTAATTGCATTAAAATATGATATTATTGGTATGAGTTTGGCTCTAAACCGTCCACATACTTTGTGGGGCTTCCTTTGATTGCAATGGTGACAAACGCAGGAAAACTTTTCAAAAGATTATGTCCCACAATATTAATATGTTTACTATATATAGTAGGTGTCATCTGTGAGTCCAATATATAATTTTCCAATTGATATAGATGACCCTGTTGCCTGTTAGTTCCACACTTTTGAGAGCCATTTGCATAAATCTGATATTAATTGCTTAATGTATTCATTTTAACAGATTATGACTTCTTAACCAATAATCTGACCGTTAAAACACAATAATCAAAAGGATGATATCATTATTAGGTATTGGGATTAACTCTTGTGGTGAGGAGAATGAAAAAAGGATTATGTTAAACTAGTTTAGTGAGTTAAATCAACAAAAAGTTGTCCAATATGTTTGGATAACTTCATTTTTACCATCTACGAATAATTTAAGGAAGATGGGCAGTATCTAAAAAGATATACAGTTCCAAACACATTGCTGGATAAAAATAGGAACATAGAAGGTGTAAACGGTAAAGATATCCCTCCATGGTAGAGTAACTTTTTTTTAAAATAAAAAAATACTATCGATCGATACTCTAAACTATAAGAGGGTTTCTCATATACATACACTACCAAAGTATCATGGGAGTTTGAACCTGAGATAGTGATAACCTATTAAGGCGGAAGAAGGTGCAAATGCACCTCCCTTCACCAAAAAAGCCTTGAGAAATGCTTTATATTGATCATTTGGTGGTGCACGCCAGGTGTTTGACAAATTGCCTAAACCAAGCTTGTCTTTTTGTGCTGCGCTGCTATGCTGTTGCGCACCTCTATTTTTTTCAAAACATCTTGGCGACGTCGTTTTAGACCAAACTTTAAAAAATTAATTAGAAAAAGGGAAAGTTGGAGTGTGTTTTGTGGGGTTTAATAAGGATTTTAGGGCCTACTTAATAAATGATAAAAGGCTTTTAAAAAATGGCTTTAACTTCTAGGGCTTTTAAGAAGCGTTCTTATTATATATATATATATATATATATTTAACATGGATTAATAAAGCTTTTAGCTTTTTAAAATTGAACATCCGTTAAAAAATTTATGGGTCCGCTAATACCTGAGACCACTGGTATATAAATCAATGCTCTTTTTCATTAGGCTAAACCCCACATTAACTCACTATAAAGTAACTTAAGTAAGTATGTAGGCACCATATATTAAGTGACGTAAAAACATGTGCAACTTTTGTCGTGGTTTACCATAAGAGAGTTAGAGTATCAATACGTTTATTATTAGAAGATTAAGTGTAGCACATCAAATGTGAAATTTCAAATGTGATTGTTAGCTGTTTTCATCTTCTTCTTCTTCATTTTTGTTTTTGTTTCAGGCTTTAGAAATCTGAAATTCGCACTTTTCTTGCGAGACAATGATTATTGGTTTACACCAATATGGACCATTTCATTTGTGCTAGATGGTTTTTATTTTTATTCTTTTGGTAATTATCTGTGGCAGATGATTGAAACTTGAAAGCAGCAGTGAGTTTTAACTTTTTAATTGTCCATATTGTTCACTTATTTTAAATTCAATTCCGTTCTTGACTGTTGTTGTTCGGGAAATTACAAAACTACACAAGAACAAACATCAAATAAGTAATAGAATATGCCAAAGTGGTTGGAATAAGTTGGGTTTCCGCTAAAGATAGTAACACAACCCAAGATTCTACCAATAAATAATTGATCAATAAAATAAAAATTAACACAACCCAAGTGACAATAGCCAAAATTATATAAAATATCTTTGAGAGGCAGGGACTTTCATGTGGTGGACTCACCAAGTCAGGCTTGGCATGCTTGAGGAGAAATTATACAGTCTAAGGATTACAAATTCACACAAATTATAGCATCTATCAACGTCGTTTTATGCATGAACACAACTGTAACCTTCTTGTTATGCAAAAATGTATTTTTCTAAGTGGTAAAACCTAATCCTCCTTGAAAGATCCTTATACTCTCATCTTAGTTCTCATTTTAACAACCCAATATATCAATCTCATCTTCACACATAGATAGATATTTCTAGTTTGGTTCAACAAACCACAAGATCCAATTTCTTTTTCCTCCCACAATTGTTTTTTTTTATTTTTTATCTTTTTCCTCCCACAATTTGGCGTCTTCTTCTGGCGTTATCCTCTTGTCTTCATTTTGTCCCTCTTAATGCTAACACTGTGGCTCATCGTATTGCACGTTATAGTCTTCGAGCGGAGGAGCTTTGTTAGTGGTTGGGTGATGGACCTCCCTAGCTCCTAGATGGTGTTAAGGAGGATAGGTCTTGTTTTGTCTGACTTTGTAATAGGGGTGTTGACTCTTCTGTTTAGTTATTAACATGTGTGGTGATCTTTCCTACCTTGAGGTTTTATCCCTTGTGATTCTTCCTGGGAAGATTTTAACGAGGCCACCATTAACATGCTCGTTCTTACCATGTAATGTTCTCTTTGGGTTGAACGCAATACCATTTTCTCTCCAAAAAAACAAAAAAAAAGTACCATAAGGAGAACAAATTGAGATTGCAAGTCATGAAATTATTGTATAATTATTTTTAGATTAGACCTACCAATGATTGATGTCAGACCAAATTAAGTGGGCACTGGAGTGGTATTGGTGAGAATCCTAGAAGACAAACCCTTTCATTGGAGCTTTTTATGAAATTGGCTGTCTGTATAAGACATGGAAATGCAAGTTGATCAAGGCTTTTAGTACATGGTGTGACAGTTCTAGAAGTATGAGCTGCTATTCTTGGATTATATGCATTATGTGTTCTTTATTTGTTTTATTTTTATTTTTTATAAGGGTTCTTTATTTGTTTTCTAGTTTGTATAAGGGAGATTTTATTGGCATCTCATTATTTGCTTTTTGCACCCCATACTAATTTTAAACATAAGTAATTTATTTAACCCTTGTACATAATTACCGTTAAGGACAAAAAACATTTATAATAAAAATTAAATTTGCTCACTACACCCCACATATGTTCCTGCAACTCTAGTTAGACTTTTTTCTCAAACCATCATGTTTCTATAACCCTAATAAGGTTTATACGCTTATATTGGTGAAAAAATATATATTATATTTATTCATGAAGGGTGAGATTGAAGTTAGAGAGGCTTCGAATGAGGTATGAGTTTATTTTTTGGCCTTTTTCAAGTTTAGGATTTCATGATGGTTCGCTGGTTGCGTTCAGCACACCAGTACCGAACAAGATAGGTAAATTCGGTGGGATGCCACAGAAACATTGCACCTATTTCAGTGGTGTTTGACCGGTTGTTAACTTCAAATGCAGTGGAGATCCACCATAATATGGAACAGTGTTCAGTGGTATATTACTGAATTTTTGCCTACAATTCAGTGGCAACAAACCGACATATATTTATT